GGGGGGTAGAGGGGAGATTGTAGATATAAATGTGAGAGAAAAAAACAATAAAGATTCTAGCAGATACTATAGCAGTGTAACTCTATGACCTTAGAGTAGGGAATAATATTAAATATGACATAAAGAAGTAAATGATGACTCAGCCTATAGTAATATTAAGAAAATTAGTTCTTAAAAGAAAATAAAAAAGCAGTTAAAGATAAAGACTTAGAGCAGGAGAAACTATTTGCAATTTTTACAGATAGCATTGTCTTGGTCATCTAGTGTTGATATAACAGAAATACCAAGAGGGGATGGCTTTAACAGAGAGAAATTTATTCTCTCACAGTCTAGTAGGCTAAAAGTCCAAATTCAGAGTGCCAGTTCCAGGGGAAGTTTTCCTCTCTCTGTCAGCTCGGAAGGAAGATCCTTGTCATCAATCTTCCCTTGGTCTAGGAGTTTCTCTGCATAGGAACCCCGGGTCCAGAAGACATGCTCTGCTCCCGGTGCTACTTTCTTGGTGGTATGATGTCCCCATGTCTCTCTGCCAGCTTCTCTCTTTTATACTTCAAAAGAGATTGGGTTAAGCCACAATCTAATCCTGTAGATCTCATCAATATAACTGCTGCTAATCCATCTCATTAACATCATAGCAATAGGATTTACAACACACAGGAAAATCACATCAGATGACAAAATGGTAGACAATCACACAATTGTGGAAATCATGGCCCAGCCAAATTGAAATACATATTTTTTGGGAAACACAATTCAATCCATGACAAGTATAGATCTTGTATCTCAAATAGTTAAAATTAAAAAGGCTCACAGTACCAAGTGTTGGTTGGCAAGAAGATGGAGCAAATGGAATGCTCATATGCAGCAGAAGAGGATTTATATTGTGATACATACTTTGGAAAACAGTTGGGGTATACTCTATAATCCTTAGCTCACTCCTAGGTATACACCCATCAATACACACCAAAAAGTATGGAGCAGAATGTTCAGGCAGCATTATTCTTAATAAACAAATGCAAACAATCCAAATACCATTCACCAGGTGAAAGAATACATAAATGTTGGTGTATTCACATAATGAAATATTATGCAGCAGTGAAACCATAGATGAATCACACTAACGACCTTGAGCGAGAAACATTAGACACAAACCAGGAGATACCATATGATGTCATTAATGAAAAGTTGTAAACACAAAAAAACCCACAAAACTATATAGAATAATTTTAAGAAAGTCATCCCAATGGAGTAAAAATATTAATAAAAACAAACAAGAGAGCATTAGATTACCGTAAAAGTCAGGGTGGTGCTTCTCTCTAGGATGCAGGGAGGGGGGAAGGATTGAGATGAGGTGGGGGGGTCTTCGGTGGTGCTGATATTGGGCAGTCATTACATGGTTGTTTATTTTTTGAACATCATTGAGCTGCATAATTCTTTCTGGAATGCTTCTCTCTATGTATGTTTCATTTCACAATATAAAAGTTTAAAATTTAAACCATAGAACAGTATTAATAAAAAGATATTATATTTTAAAATAGAAATCTCATTTTCTTTTTTACGATTGAAAATTACCTGGATATTAAAAAAAAAATTAGTTTACTGTAATGATATAACAATATTCTACAAGAAGGGGTGGACTTCTTAATAATTTGTTTCAAAAAATTAAGTTACATTAAGAAAAAAAACAAAAAACTCATTGCCATGGAGTGGATTCTTACTCATAGCTACCCTATAGTAGGGAGTAGAACTGCCCATAGGGTTTCCAAGGAGTGCCTGGTGGATTCAAACTGCCGATCTTTTTGTTAGCAGCCATAGCTCTTAACCCCTACTCCACCAGGGTTTCCAAAAGCTCTGCATGGCTCCACTGGGGATTGAACCTAGGATCCTCTGCGTGTAAAGCAGATGTGCTAACCACTACACCATGCAAACAAAAGGATTAACTATTTTTTATTGAGTTTTAATTACTTGAAAAAAATGTGTTCTCTTTTTTTATACAAAACTATAGTCAATTTTCTAAAAACCTAACATGCTGTGGTGGCACAGTGGTTAAGCACTCAGCTGCTAACCAGAAAGGTCTGCAGTTTGAACCCACCAGCCACTCTGTGGGAGTAAGATGTCACAATCTGCTTCCATAAAGATTTATAGCTTTGGAAACCCTGTGGGGCAGTTCTACTCTGTCCTATTGTGTCGCCACGAGTCGGAATCTACTCTAAGACAGTGGGTTTTTTATAGAAACAATGGAACATAATTAATAGACTGCTGAGAATTTTTGAAATTTGATAAATATACTAGTTTAGATTTTCTTGACTTTTTTCTGTAGCTCTGTGTTCTAAATTAACTAAAAGATATATGGCTGTATTATGACAACATTAATTCAAGAACTTGTAGTTAGAGAATTCACTTGTCATGATAATACTATTTGGCTTGTGTAAAAATATTATCCACCAAAAATTAAATGGATACTATAATGTGTATTTTAAGATGATAAAGCAGTTCTTCACTACTATTATTTATAAAAATCTATGTGTAGCAGTTGACTTTAAATATACATAAATGCCTATTACATATATTTTAGAGTTTTAGTATCTTCAAGAATATCATATATACAGAAAACTTCCATCACAAAATAATTAACAGGAGCCTATATTTATGCTAGGTACCCTGGTTTCACAGTGGTTAAAGCTCTTGGCTGCTAACCAAAAGGTCCGTGGTTCAAACCCACCAGCTGCTCTATGGGAGAAAGAAGTGGCAGTCTGCTTCGTAAAGATTTACAGCCTTGGAAACCCTAAGGGACAGTTCTACCCTGTCCTATATGGTCACTATGAGTCAGAATTAACTGGACGGCAGTAGTTTTTTGAGTGTGTTTATGCTATCCATTATATTAGATATAACCACTCATTGTCCATGTTCCCAATATTTCAGAATAAAACTTTATTTTAGAGCAAGTAACTATGTCAGTTCTCCTACCAAGACATTTTTTAAATAAATGAAATGTGAAGGTGTTGGGTAAGAGTAGAGACCCAAACTTCAAAAGTTAATTGTCAAATATTTTATTTACCAACAAAATAATCTCCACCTTAACCATTTATGTTCTAAGTAATACATTGATAAAGAACAGATTTTCTTTAAAGAGATATATTTTCTTTCTTAGTGTAATGTCTGTTTTCAAATAGCTTCAGAGGCACATGTTCCTCAAATGTATTCAAATGCTATAAGTTTATTGAAAATTAAAATAAAAGTTTATCACTGTATTAATTATAAAATATGTGTCACAGTAGAACTGTGCTCAGTAGGGTTTTCAATGGAGGATTTTTTTGGAAGGTCTTTCTCTCCAGGTGCCTCTAGGTGTTCTTGAACTTCCAACCTTTTTCTTAGCATCAGAGTATTGACTGTTTGCACCACCCAGAGACTCCCATTTAAGGCTAATGTATGTTGATGACGTTTTACTTCCAGACCCCAGGCCGCTATCATGGAAACTTTCCGTTGCTTCTTCTTCCTAATGCTCTGTGGATTTGGTCACCTGAAGCCTTTCATCCCTTCCTTGTCATTGGCTTTTGTGGTAAGAAGTGTGGTTTATGTAGCTATAACATTGATTATGTTTTTATTGTATATTTAATTCATTCATTTAACAATGTTTTCTAGTTACTTTGTGACTAGTAATTGTGTGATTTTTTTTTTACATTTTCACTTACCAATACTTACCAATTGCATCATCTTGGGCTAGTTAATAATACTGATGTGCCTCCGTTTAAATCTCTAAATTTGGATTGATACCACTAGCCTCACAGAGTTTTTGAACAATTTGTATTACATAAAGTTTATAAAGAAATTGGCTCACTAAGTAGATTCTCAAAAAGTAGTAGAAGTGATTTTTTTTTAAGTGTTTGGCAAAGCCATTGACATTTAATATTTTTTTATTTTTAAGCAGTAAAAGTGAAAATCGTGAACAATGTTTTGCCAATTATCTAGAAAAGTTAATAATTACATAAAAATAAAGTCATTGAGGTCATTGAGATTTTTCTGTGATTGAAATATATGTTGTGATATGATCTGCTATGATAATCGAAACTTATCTTCCAAGAAACACATTGAACTTTTGAGTATATATTTATTTTTTTTCACAGACTAGACAACTGTTAAAGAGTTATTGTCATTGTCAGTGCTTTAAAAGGCATGCATTTTTTAAAATTAATGGTTACATCATTTACCTTTGATAATGAGTAACCTGTGAACATCTCCAGAATATGCAATGTGTAACCTAATTTAAGCATGAACCTAAATACTAACATTCTTCCCGGTATCAATGGAAAAACCTGATTTTAAAATACTTTCATAATTTAGCCATGATTGTAAATTGGAACAACTTCTTTCAAAGAAAATTTTGTGATATCTATCAAAATTACAAATTCACGTACCCTTTGACCCCAAATTCTACATCTAAGAATTTATCTAACAGAAATGATATGCTCACACATGTGTAGTTTGATGTATATGCAAGATTATTCATTATAGTGTCACTTGTAATGGCAGACTGGAACTAGCCTAATTACCATTAATAGGGGAATGTTTATATAAAATAAAATATGATATAAGACATTGTGAAGTGTGCTCCCATACAAAGCATAAAACCAAAAAAAAAAAAAACCTCTTTGCTGTCAAGTCGATTTCCGACTTATAGCGACCCTACTGGACACAGTAGAACTGTCCCATAGGGTTTCCAAGGAGCAGTTGGTGGATTTGAACTGCCAACCTTCTGGTTAGCAGCCAATCACTTAGTCACTGCACCACTAGGGCCCTACATACAAGTATACAAGTATAAAAATGGAGAGGGGCTAATATATCTATTTCATCATATAGAGTTGAAAAAAAAAATAAGAACCTAAAACATGGTTGTCTGTGGGAAGGTGAATCATATGGCTCAAAGATAGGAAAGCATATATTTCCTATTAAGAAAAACATATAAATTAAAAAATGAAATATCTTAGTTTCAGGATCTTGGGTATCATCTAATCTATTCTGCATTTAAATAGGCAATAAGTAAAGTTTACTTACTGTGTGCATATATTCTGTTTCTTTGAATTATAGTCTAAAAGCAAAATGACATAGAAGCGTAAATTGTACATACTTAATGAAATTCACAATATATATGCCACAAACAAATTACAATCAAAGAACATAGCATTTTCACACTGTAAGTGAGGGGGAAAATTTTAATTAAGTCCATGAAAGACAAAATTGCATTTAATGAACCCACTTTTGAGTATATTGTGGTAGTTTGTCTTAAATTCTCCAGAAGCAAATAGAGAATTTGGATTCTTTACATTATCCCTGATTTTCAATATGTGAAAATGTATGTTTACAAAAACAACTTGTATTTTGGGGTTATTTGATGATGGGCTGGTAGATGGCATCTCAGTGTGTTCAGCTTTTGAGTATTATGAACCCCGGTGTTAAGACACTGTCATTTTACCTATTTAGTCATCCGGTGATGATGAGTGGTTAAGACTAGAACTTTGACTTCATTGCCTGAATTTGATTCCCAGTTTTGGAGCTTACTATCTGTATGTTCTTGGGCAGTTACTTAACCACTTAAATACTCCTTATCTTGGCTTCCTCATCTGTGAAAGGAGGAAATAACAATGCCTATCTCAGAGAATTTTTGTCAGAAAATATATGTATTATTGATATTGAATGAAGTACAGATGTCGATATTCAGTATACAAAAGAAGTTGCATAAGCCAAATTGCTTTATGTTAGTAAAACATGCCTTCTTTCTCATGTAATCATAAGCATTATTTCAGTAAAAGAGGTATATTTTCTCTCCTTTTTATCTTCTTAGTTGTATGATCATCATAATAAGTTAAAACAAAATAGTTCTTGTATGATCAAATGACAACAGAAAAAGAGAAAAGCAACAAACCCTAGCCTGGACAATTCCACCCAGCCCATTGTTACTCTGAGATCTTCTGTTTTTTCTCTCTTCTCTTTTCTCCACTCTCTAATAGAATTTGGAGGATTAGATGAAATAATCTATGTAAGAGATTTAGCACAGTTCTTAATACATAGTAAGTACTCAATAAATGTTAAAACCAAACCAAACCTGTTGTCAAGTCGATTGTGACTCACAGCAACCCTATAGAACAGCCCCATAGGGTTTCCAAGGAGTGGCTGGTGGACTCAAGCTGCCGACCTTTGGATTAGCAGCCAAACTCTTAACTACTGCAATAAATGTCAGGTGCTGCTTTATTATTATTTTTATGTTATTACTATTGTTTGAATGTAAGGATGCCTTGAAATAATTCCTTGCCTTGCCTAAAGGCTCACAAGTCATTTTTAGCAACAAAGGGTACCTGGGGTGGGGGAATAGGGAAGCAAGGAGTTGGTTTCGAATTCTTGGTCTGCCACTCACTCTATGACACTGGACTCAGTTTGTTCACCTGCAAAATAGGTTTTAGAGCAGCTAACATGTATTAAGCCCTTACCATGTTCTAAAAGTCTTACTTGTCTTATTCCATTTAATCCTTGTACCAAACACATTATGTAGTTACTAATACAGTAAAACCTGCAAAAGCCATAACCTGTGTAAGGTGGAAACCTGTCAGAGGAGGACAACTCAAATATTTTCTACTAAAAGAAGTGATAGAAAAGTAGTAATACTCCCCCCTGTCAGAGGTGGAACACTTGCAAGACCTAAAAAAACAAGGCAGTCCCGCTGAGTTCTGGCTCTCACAGGTTTCACTGTAGTTTTATTCTTTTTGATAGAGGAGACAATTGTGGTACAGAGAAGTTAAATAACTTGTGTGAATTCACACAGCTAGTAAATGAACAAGTCAGGATGCAAACCCATGCAGTCTGACACCATAGCTCATAATTATCTTGTAACATTTTCTTCCATATAATAGTAGCAATGCTCATCTAACTCAAGGGTT